AATTTTACTATTCAGTGTTTCATTTTCAGGCTTTATTTTTGCTCTTGCGGTTCTTCTTTCTTTGAAAATTTTCATTTCCACATGAGGGCTTCTTTACATTTCTTCCTGTTATCTTTTCTCTGCTGCTTCACTGTCATTTATTTTTGTTTGAATCTTGACGTTGAACTGAAATACACGAACAGAATACTACGTATCAGAATACACATCCTGACGCGTTTTTGTGTATTCTGCATATACTGTGTGACCAGCTGCAACACACAGATTCAGACATCACCCATCTCCAGGAAGTATTTCTTTTTTTCCTTCTATTTACTATTCTCATGAAAACCACCCTACTGTCTTTGTATTATCATAATGCTCTTTTCTTTTTATCTTCTTCTGCCTCCCTCTTTCCCTTTACTTCTTTTTTTTTTTTTTGTACTTCTTTTATAGGCGTTATGTTGTACTGTATCTCGCAGCGTTTGCAAAATGTTATTCTACATCTTTTTTCCAGGGTCCTGCAATAATTTATCTTTAGAAATATATTCTTTTGCTAAATTTACATTATGCATTTTTTTTCTCTTTCAGTAGCGTTTTATCATAGCCTTTCCTCTATTTTTAGGGAAATGAAGAAACACATGCTCAAATTGTTTGTGAATATAGGTAATCTGGATTTTCTGTGGCTTTTCATATAATAAGCCACTTTCTGGTTGATCCATTTCTCAGTCTTGAACTGATTATCCAGAGAATCTGTCATCTGTTATTACTTTGTCCCTATATCTTATAGTGGTGAGATTTTTTTTATTACTTCCTCTGCCTCTTTCTGCGGTGTTATAACACAATCAAGGACTTGAAAGACAATTATTTTTCAGCTTGCCCGCTAAATAAAGTTCAGTTTTGAAATCCTACCTGCTGAGTTTTGCTGGTTGCATTTATATTCACGAAGGTGCATACTGTCCACTTCTTCCAACACTTTCTGTGTCTTCTCGTTTCTAGCTCTGCGCTGCCAATTTGTAGTCTTGAAATAAATGTAGAAAGATAAGGGTGCTGCTGTAATACTACTCTGATAACTTCTAAATGTGCTATCCACAAAGGAGAGAACACTGGATAATGTGGAATTACTGAGGGTCTTTCTACCCAAGTGCAATCTCCCCACAAGAGACATCAGCATTCACTTAGAGCGTCTTTGAACTATCAGGTCTCGCCCCATACCTACGGTTCTCTTTTTACAAAATGCCTTGGACTTCTATGCACTTTAACCTTATTAGCACTGAATGAGGCAGCTTTTGAAAAATATTTATGCCTGATTTTATCACCACAAATGCTACTTTTTTTTTTTTTAAAATAAGCGAAGGCATGCATTAGACTTGCATTGCTGTCATAAGAAATTAACATAAACTTTCCGGCTAAAAACAATAGAAATTTGTTATTTCATAGTTCTGCAGGTCAGAAGTTCAATAGTCACAGCTGGTTCCTTTGCCTCATGTTCACAGGTCCACATAAAGTTGCTGACAGGGCTCTGCTCTGAAGGCTCTCAGTGGGAATCTACTTCCAGATTCTTTCAGGCCTTGGTGGAATTCATTTCCACGGAACTGTAGAACTGGAGTCCTGTTATTTTCCCTGTTCACTTATTGGCTGTGGCCAGAGATCCTACTCAGCCTTCAGCAACCTCCTTTGATCATGTTGCTTTTGTCTTGAACTCAGCAGTGGTGAGTTGAGTCCTCCCAATGCTTCAGATCTCTCTGACCATACATCTGCCTCGCCTCTTCTACCTTCTTTTCTATCAAGTTATTTCTGACTTTTCTCTTTTACTCTTTCGCTTTTCAGATACATGTAATTATACTGGCTCACAGGATAATACAGGAGAATCTCTACTTTTTTTTTTCCTCACTGAGTTTATTGGTACATTCTAGGTATCCAGTGCAGTTACATTCATCATTGGGATCTTGTACTCTACATGACAGGTCTTGGTTCTCATTTTGTCCCCTTGTCTCTGCCTCCCTTCACCCCCTCCTCCCCTCCCCATTTACAAATACTTTATTTCCATTTTCTCATTTTTCCTTTTGCCTTATTTCCTTTCCCCTACCCTTCCCAATTCCCCTACACCTTTAGCCCTTTTCTTCCTATTTCACATAAGCTCTTCTTTTTATTAAGTAATATCAATTTCCAGATGCCCCACCTCTAAAATCCATAGTTAGATTAAGTTTTCACCCCCTGAATACCATTGTAACATGACAGTGATCCACACATATCTGCATGTATGACAGCACAATCTATAAAGAACCAAATCTTGGAAAATGGCCTATATGCCCATCACAGATGAATGGATAAAGAAAATGTGGTATTTACACATAACAGAATACTACCTGCCATAAAGAACAATGAACTTCAGATATTCATAGTTAAATGGTTGTACTTTGAGACCATAATATTAAATGAAAGAAATCAGACACACAAGTTTACATACAGCATGGTTTCCCTTATATAGTTCCCAAAATATGAATAAAGAGCAAAGCTTTTCCTTATATTATTTATAAAATATTATAAAATATTATATTATTTCTAAAATTGTATAAATATATAAAAAGAGCAAAATATAAACAATGAATAAAATAAAAGACAGATAATAAGAAGTAGAGAGATCCTTTTCAAATGGGAAAGGAAACAAGAGAGGGAGGAGAAAAAAGGGATAGAATAAAAGAAGTGAGGGAAAGAAATGGAAATAGACCTTTAGCAATGGAAAAGGGACCAAAATGTAGAGGGAGAGAGATAGGAGGAGTAGGGGACAATAAAAATTAAGTTGTGTAGTGGACATGTAGTATCTCTCCACACTAAATGTAACCATTATGTGCTGCCAATGTGTACTAATAAAAATACTTCAGGGATTAAAATCATGTATGAGTTTAGGTGGACAAATCACTTCCAAACCATAGCAACTAGGCTGCTAGTTATTTTTTTCTGTCAGTTCACATTTGCCCTATTCATGTGTAGCCAGAAGTGGGCAGAGGCTGTCGTCAGGCAGCCAGCATCCCTAGCCAGTGGCTCCACTCCTTATCAAAACTGAGATGTTACTATTTTGGTTCTCCATTTTCAGTTAAAAAAAAAAGGTTAGAAGAGATGAAAGGTTCTTGCAAAGGTACATGTATCTCATGAGCAAAGTCACTTGGCCTGCTTTTTTAAAAAAATCAGGCTTTAATGTTTTTCTTCTGGGGAAATGAGCTATGTTTTTGCATCCCATGTTTATTTCTTTGGATTCTTTATCATACCTATTTATCTTGAGGGGTTACATATACATTCTGGTTAAAATATGCATTTTTATGCAAGGCTGCAGTATCTGAAGGGGTAGTAAGACTGTGCACCTGTTGTATAAAAAAATATTAGCAAAAGATTAGAGTTGAAATCAGTGCAAAAGTCTGGGTTACCCAAGTGTAAGGTTTCATAACCCAGGTCAGTACTGAGCTAAACTAATTCTCCAAAATCCAGAGACATGATTAGAAGAAAACTATGTGTATTTTTTACTTTTTAAGACTTGGATAGAATACTGTAGGCACCTTCCTGTTCACCATCTCCATGGGTAAATTTTGTTTAAATAGTGGATCTCTCTGTTTTTGCAGAGCTTTATGTTAACATATTTAATGAGAGCTAATTATTAGTTATGGTGCTAAAAAGGAAAAGGGAAAATGACACTTAGAATCAGTTGATAGTCCTTTTAGGAAAATGATCAGGAAAAAGAATCAGGCTGTTCCCTCCATTGCTAATTTTCTAACCCAGATCTATCCACTTGTGCCCAGCCTGGGTATAATGCTAGCTCATGACTTTGCAATAACTAAATCTTTTCTGATTCTCATATTTCCACTCTTCTTGTTTGGTTTGTCTCTATTGCGCTGAATTTTGGCTTCATAATTTATCCTTTGTTTCAACCTCTGGTCTTACAAAGGTACATGATCTTTCTGATCATCTCTTGTCACCTTGGACCTTAGCACTATTCCTCTAGCTTTAGTGTCTCTTATATTCTTGGTGAGGATTTCAGATTTTTCTTGCAATTACTGTAGAACATCCCAGAGTGGTGGCCTAGCCTGGCCAATTTCAACAACTCTTCTCTGTGAGGAAATATTAAATTATTGTTGACAAATCACTAACATTTTATGAAAGGATAAAAAATGTATCATTTGTTTCTATTATTGTATAGTTATTCATTATTTCACTAATAGTCAAAATGTAGTGTGTAAAAATTGTGTAGGAAGTAATATAAATAATAATCTTGTTGTGTAATTGTTGTATTCTAGTTCATGGTTCATAAAGATATATTCTAAGTTATTATTGATATTCATTCCTAAAGCAAAACTTTCAGAACTAGAATGGATTTTCTTGCCTCAGTGTTTATTTGAGATACCCTAGCTCCTGGGATAGGGTAATAAATAAAGGTCTGATGAATTCAAAGGGCTTCCAACAGGCCATTTCAATAGCAGTATCTCAGCCATTACACATTTGTCTCTTATCTAACTTCCAGAAAAGATTTTGTTCAAAGAAAAATCATGATCATTTAAAAAGTAATGGCAACCACAGTTCTGGTTCAATCCACATTCACCACTTAAGAAGACAGGCTCAAAGATGTCAAGCAGGTAACTATGAGAAAACAAAAGTCACAAAGTGAATGCCTAATATCTGACAAAACTGCAGCTGTCTAGGCTCCCAGGCTGAGTCTTTTTCCACTGAAAAACAGACTGTATCCTATAGAATGAGTTATGCAAGCAATTAAGCAGCAGTAGTCATAATCCTCATATTTCTCTTGGAAACCAAAAGAATAATAATAAACGAATCTTCTATTTACAAATTAGGAAGCTATTTTCTCATTATGTGTTTATTTAAGAAAGAATAGCATATTCTTAATGATTCTCAGAAGTAAACGTATCTCCATCCTTCATTCCATAGACATTTAGGTAGAAAGTAAAGAGAATACCAAGATGAATGGTCTGTGTCCCAGACTTTAATAAGCTTATTATTTAATGGTAAATTTGCAGGAAGGGAGAATCACAGTACCCTGGAATCAAGGACACTCGAGATTGAAGGTCAGTTTAATGTCAACTAATTAATTATAAGAATTTTATTGATACAATTTAAAGAATCAACATTACAGGAATGAATGGACAATGGTAGCATGCATTATATTTTATTAACTTCTTGCAAGATGGATGAAAGTTTTTATTTTAATTATAAAAATTAAATAGTAAATATATTAGGAAGTAAGTGCCAGTATGTTTTTTACATTTCTATTATTTGAAAAGGTATCCCATATTTTATTTTCTTAACTTTTTCTCTATTTTTCTTTAACATATTTATGAAAAAAGAGCCCATAATTGTCTCCAAATTGCATTTCATATTTGCAAATATATGTGTGCTTAACCCTGTCAGTTAATGTCAGTAGTTGATTTATAAAATAAATAAATAAATAAATATACTGAGTGAACTGTGTAATAAACCTGTTTCTATTCACGTATACTATCATCAGCATTGTTATTACTTCAAGTCATTTATTTACTCGGAAATAATTTACTCAGATCAAGGTCCCTGAAACTGGGTATCTGAGCTTCTAGGTACCCAAAGCCTAGTAGGAATTTATTTTGTTTCCTTCTCCAGGTAAAAATAATGAACCACACACTGGGAAAAAAATCATGTCAACAAAGTATAAATATATACATACATAATGAAAGAAAATGCTTTACTGGTAAAGCAAATATATTTCAAGATAAACATGTCATAGATGTCCTTTGGATTAGAGTGAGCAACTTCTTTTGCCATATAAATACTTGGGAATAAATCTTATAAACTAATACATAAGAATTATAAGCTTCCATGAAAACTATTATATAAAGTCAAAGGCTATTTTTGGACAAATTTAACAGTCAGCAAACTAAAGGTAGGAGCAGTAAAATCTGTACAGCTAAAAATAAAATCAATGCATTTTTCTTCTCAGTGAGAGAACATTATGAACTCATTAGGAAATTTACACAGAGTAATTTTGGTTTTGATATTTGCTCTTTGTCATGTCCTGAATGTTGCATCCTCTAGATTGCATGGAAGTAATCACCCATGGGAGTCATCAGGCTGTCAGTGATGGGAATCAAGCCACTCAAAGGAGAGGCAGTGATGCACTGAATTGTTTGATAATGACATTTATATTTCTCAGTGACCTTCCACCATAAAATATGATTTTTAAAAACAAATAATGTGCAACTCGGTGAGTGTGAGATTCGGGGGAGGAAATCACGTGTTAGCAAGAGACATTGTCATCTGCCCAAAGACTTAGGTCATAGCAGTTGAAACAACTTTGAGCCTAGGCGTCCTCCCCACTTCTATTAGACACTGGTTAGTGTGCAGATGTGTCCTCAGCTGGCAGACGGAAAGGTCTAAAGTTTATATGGCTTTAAGAAGTCATAAGGAGGCCATGAGTGCCATGTTCTTTATGAGAGAAATGTCAGCTCTTGAAAAGTCTCTTAAACTCTAAAGGACACTTCATTGCATAGAAAAACTGACTTAATTTACTTTGCAAATGACTTCATAACGTTTAATTTTAAGAATCATTTCTATCCTTTTATTCACAGTACACAAGGAAATTAGCTGAAATATTTATCTTTCCTCTTCTCTAAGTTTTATAGCACTAGTCTTAGACTCTGGACATTAAATCCTGCATGCTTGCTTCTTTTTAGTTTTTATTTTTCTCAAGGAGTTTTACTTGCTATGTAACTTTCGCTAATGCAGAGAGTGGCCTATTTAACTTAAAAGCGTCTGGTGCAGGGTTTTTTTGCAATGTCAACTTTAGCCACTTTTTCAAGTATATCTGACAAGTGCTTAAAAAAAGGAAGAGGGATGAAGTCAATCACAAAAACCACTAAACATCTGATAGAACAGAATCCACAAAAATGAAAAACAAAACAACAAAAAAACAGAATCCACAAGTTATGAAAGGAGATTTCCCACCATGTCCAGCCCTTTTCAGAGTTGACCATCAAACTGGCTCTTTACTTGAGAAGATGAGGACTATTTTACAGCAATCTCAAGTTCAAAATTAATCCATAAATTAAAGAAAAAATAGATTTTCCCTTCTGATGACAAAGAGCTTCAAAGTCTGTATGCCTGCATTTCTTGCTTCCCTTAAAACCTTCTTTCTGGCATTACTAAATTGAAGTGTCTTCTTTGTATTAAATATAAGTCTAGGACCACATCCAGTAAGAGCCGATTTTCTTAAATTAGGAAGTTTTAACATCATGTGAGTTAAATTAGCTCTTTAGTAAACCCAAGGAAAAATGCCTCCTCATTTTCAATGCTTATTTTCCTGTACATTACCTTGGCTATCCCACTGGCAAGAACTTGAAGGTCAAAACCAAGTTGTGAAGGAGATTTTACTTATTTGTTTTTCCTTTAATTTGAGTTTTAGAAGAAATGTCAAATATTTTCTTTGTGGCTTGCAAATGGTTTGGCTGAACTCACTAGAGCTGGGACTCTGCAGTAGGATTTGTAGCCCCTACCTTACAGAGAGTGATGTTTTGCAGCAGCATGTCTGTTCAGAGTTCCCCTGAAATAGGAAGATCTTTGGTAAATACTCTGGACCTAGAATCTCAGCCACTTCGATTTTTATTTCAGAAACTTGACCAGTATCCATTTCTTCATTTTAAAGTAAATAGTACCAATGAAAAAATACATTACCACAAACCACAATAAACAATTACTTAGCGTCTCTTAGGGCCAGTCTACATCTTTAAGAAAAGGCTGCTTAGTTATAACACTTATAAAATATAGGTAGTGCTGAAATTTGTAATGAAATATAATAGGAAAAATAGGGAAGATATTGGCTCTATTATCTATACATGTTAAACCTACTAGCAGACACCACTGGGTATGAGTAGAGAAAGGCTGAAAAGTAAGAGCTAGAAACAGTATCCAGTTTAGACAATGATGAAATTTTATTTATTCATTTACTCATTCAAAACTTTTGAGTGCATTCTACATGAAGACACTGCGTGCATCCTGTGAACAACGCAAAGACAGGTAAGATATGATTCAAGCAGCCACTTATCTGTAAAAAGAAATAAAACCTTTACACAAATAACAAAACTATCATACAAGAAATGAAGATCAAGTACTGTGGAAGTCAGAGAACTGGTAGAAATTACTTCTACCTGTGCTGAGTGAAGAGCATCAAATTGCTTTTAAAAGAAGAAGGAGTTGGAAGTAGGCGCTGGAACCCACATCATAAAGAAAACTGTCATTTAAAGAGAAGGTTTGTGAAGCCTATTTGTAAATGAATAGTATCAGATGATGGCAAATTGTTGTAGTTTAGGAAGTTCTGTTTGGTAAGAGGCATAATTCCAAAGGGCCCCCCAAATTCCTGCTCCCTGCAGAATATGCCCAATATACTAATTGCCTCTTTTGAGTATAGACAGAGCCGGAAATATGATGGGTGTCATTCTGTGGTTGATGTTACTTGCTGTAGAAGATGAAGGGCCTTTGCTTATACATAGTTAAAGTCACTAACTAGTTAACTTCAAGTTGATCAAAATGGAGAGAGTGCTGAGCATCCCGGTGAGCCCTTTAAAAGCAGTTCTATTCATCAGAAACTCAAAGTGGCACAGAATGCTCCTCTGACCTTGAAGTAAGGCACCATGAACTCTTCATCTCCAGGAAAATGAGTAGTGTCAGCACACATGTAAGCTTGGAAGAAGACCAGTATTTCATGTGAGAAGCTGCACCTCTGACTGCTCTCAATTGCTTCCTGTGAGATCGGAATGGAGGACCTAGCTACACCATTTCCTGACCCTCGGAAGCTGTGATTAACTTTTTTTAAAATGGTGGCTTTAGAAGCTGCTAAATTCTTAAGTTGTTACACATTAGCAAAAACCAATAGACCCAAACGCAGATTATATAACCGCCTTCAAAGTCAATGCTTGTGCTCCTGGGATAGAGAAAGGCCTTCTCGCTATCACCAGCGCAGACAATTTCAGTGCAGTAGTTTTCCAGATTTCCAGTCTTCGCTTTTCCCGAAGCTGGTATGTCTGAAAGTGTTTTCATTCTCCTTTCTCACTTCCTTGTAATTACACTCATACTATTTAAGTAAAGGAAGGTCACATCTCAGTCACTCTGAGTCTTACTCTAGCATCCTGCTCTGGACTGACTGCATAATTTTAGTTCAGCTGCAACAATGCCTAATATATTTTTCTACTCTTGAATTAGAATAATGAAGATTTGTGTAAGCCATGATGGTAAATAGCAGTCTGTCCAAGTGCCCTCTTAGCACTTTTGAAAATCTAAGTCTTAAAAGCGCCGTGAGCACTGCCATATACCTGTGTTTTCTGTATGTCTCAGAGGGGCATTCCGTATGACTTCAAGAAAAAAGAGAAAAAGCTGAAATTTTACTTCTAATAGATTATTATGCATTTGAGTAAAAGGAACATATATGCAAAGCAAATGAGCGTTTTCATTTCAGTGCAAAGTTATTGAGACTCATGGAAGCGTGTTGTCAAAACTTATCATGTTATTGGATGCTTCAATATTTAATGCTCATTTTTTGGTAGTTACAGAAAAAAATGTATACACAGATATTGCAGGAACTTGGGATGAGATGATCAATAAGACATTCAACTGTTAAACTGTATTAGTATAGAATTCTGAGGGAAAACAGTTCTAAGGAAATGTGAGTTCAAGGAGTAAAGTGAGTAATGCAAAATTTCTGACTGCTGAAAAAGACAATGTTCAAGTGCATTTTAAATAGGTTACAATAGTTACCAGAGAATTGTTATTTGGATTTTGCTGGATGCCTATATAATAATGCAATTATGATGATACAATAAAATTACTATCATGTTTGTTAAAGGCATAAATATTTAGAATTACATTTTAATAACTTTTTAAACAATACAAATTTTTCAATTCCAATTTACAAATGCATGAGGGAATATACGGTTTTCTAACATTCTTTTTTGGATATCTGTGAGAACAAATTCAAGATCAAAAGTGAAAGAAACAATGTAGAAGGATAATTTATTGCTTCATTAGTCCTCTGGGATAAAAGGGT